CACTCAACTAACACGAGGAGGCTCTTCAGTAGCACGAGCCCTCACCTCTTACCTGGTCTGGGAAGGTCAGGAACGTTATCATAGCCTTGATTCGAAACTGCGGCCGTTTCATCAGCGCTAAAGGTAGGAGCCGCCGCTCGATCGGCCGCAGTAGTGTGAGGTCGCCATGATAGGCCCGGAGCATCTCAGCCTCCTCGGGAGTCGGCAATATGCTCGACAGTTTCTCCAACATATCCACCGTTGCAAAGCCTTCATTAGTAGTCTCACTCTGAATCAAAGAAGTCCTATGAATTCAATCCACTGATTCCAATTCACAAAAAGCCTATGAACAATTCACACAACATACACGCTTGTATTCCCAGTATAGATCAAAAACCCGAAACCCGACGCTCGGAGACCTACACCAGAGCTTGGTACCAACGCCGCACTGCTGCTGTCCTCTTCCTCGGAGGCATCCACCATATTGTCGGTATCAAGATTCTCCATCTTCTCAACCAACAACTCCACAGGCAACCGCGCCATCACCAACCCCGCGTTCTGAGCTCTTTTCTGATCAAGGATCTCTATCAGTTTTGGTCGGTCATCTAAACAAAACCAATAGCAACACCAGGCAGCCCCTGGGACCATCCTCACCAACGAGTTTCGACTTCCTCTCGCTTTTTTTCTCATCAGGATTCCCAGAAGCTCCAAAAACGGTCTTCATTTCCGCCACATCCCTCGCCAGGGTTTCTCCCAAGTGGTCGTCCGACGGTGTGGAGGACTGAGAAAACCAGCGTGAGGAAATATGCACATGGTCAACTACATGTGTCGCCGACAATATGAAAACTTTCCGGATTTTTTTTGGAAAATTCTTACTATTTTCTTCACATTGCTACCCGATTTCTTTATTTCATGAGGAAAACGAACATATATTCCTATACTGGGGTGGACGAACCGGAGAAGAACTCGACTCACCCCCTCCTCGTCGTAGCTCGCCCATATGGTAGACCCAATGAGCCGGTCTGGTATGGCCTTCCAGTGGAGCTTCTTACCCAGAGGCAAAGCCGCTGCTTTTCCTGACAGGGAAATGGCGAATAGTGGGATGACCCAAGGGCGGTACTCACTCGTTCGGGGGCCGCTTTTGGGTGGAGACCTATGATCTGAGAAACAACGGAAGGGTTCAAGGAAGGATGAATTGAGGAGGACTCACTTGCTGGAGTTGATGGGGGTGGGGAGGCGAGAGGCGGGGACCGAAGGACCAGAGGTGATCCTGCTGCTGTTGAGGGTGGTGGGGGCGATGCGTACACTGGAGACCGGCCTGGAGGGACTTTAGGGAGAGAATTGCCACAGGGGGGTAGAGGGGCACAACCTTTACCACTTGACACACGTACCGGGGGAGGGGTACCCTTACCTGGTAGTGGAGGAAGAGCACCCTTGGCAGACCCTGGTAGTGGGGGAGGGGTACCCTTACCTGGTAGTGGGGGAGGAGTACCCTTGGCCGCTCCTGGTAGTGGGGGAGGAGTACCCTTGGCCGCTCCTGGTAGTGGGGGAGGGGTACCCTTGGCCGCTCCTGGTAGTGGGGGAGGAGTACCCTTGGCAGACCCTGGTAGTGGGGGAGGGGTACCCTTGGCCGCTCCTGGTAGTGGGGGAGGAGTACCCTTGGTAGACCCTGGTAGTGGGGGAGGGGCACCCTTGGCAGACCCTGGTAGTGGGGGAGGAGGATCCTTGGCCGCTCCTGGTAGTGGGGGACATATAGCTCCCCCTAGGTGAATCAATGGGAGTGGCCGCAGCTTCATACCCTCTGATGCTAGCGGCGGGTTTACCAACACCTGCATGGGTGGTGGGGTACCCTTACCACTAGGTAGGGGTGGTGGGGTACCCTTACCACTAGGTAGGGATGGCGGGGTACCCTTACCACTAGGTAGGGGTGGTGGGGTACCCTTACCACTAGGGAGGGGTGGTGGGGTACCCTTACCACTAGGTAGGGGTGATGGGGTACCCTTACCACTAGGTAGGGGTGGTGGGGTACCTTTTCCACTAGGTAGGGGTGGTGGGGTACCCTTACCACTAGGTAGGGGTGGTGGGGTACCTTTTCCAGTAGGTGGTGTCCGTAATAATAGAGTGCTCCCATGCATTTGGTCTTCTCTATTCCCCCCAATGGGAGTGGGCTGCCCCTCCACACCAATCGGCGACACTTCCTCCTCATCCTCCTCCTCCTTCACCATCATACCAGAATAGTCCTCATCCCCCCTGAGCCCCACAGACCCCCTCCTACCAACATGCACTATCGACCGACGATGAGGTGGAGGGGATTCTATCACACTACTGCATACACTACGAGCATAGCTCCTTCTCAGTCGGCGTTGTTGATAATGCCTCAGCGTCCTACGATGCAACAGCTCCCTCTGCCGAGCCCCCATCCCCCTCGAGGGCACCCCTGCCAACCTCGCCTTAGGCAAAGCAGATATCTCCCCCGAGCGGTAAGATCTCTCCACCAACCGAGGGGCCACCGCTACATCTTGATAATTACTATCACTTACTGGCAGCCCTACTCCCTCACCCAGTAGGTGCAGAAGAGGTCCGCCCGAGGCATCCCCAAAACGCCGATCCCCTTGGCGAGCTACATGGGACATATACCGCATTCTGAACCACCCTCCTGCCGACGATGTGTCCACGAGATGGTATTCATCATCATCATAATAATCATCCACCGCTCTATAACGCTCACGGTCCACCAGGGCTAGATCCTCCGACAACGCAGGGGCATGTGAATCCTCCCACGAGGAGACCGACTCCGTGTGACCCGAGCCCACCCCCATCTTTGATGGTAGCGACGACCGAAAGGAACGCTGACTATCCGGTGAGGACCCCCTTCGGTGACTCTCATCATAGTCGTATACACTCCTTGACCTCCCTACTGACAACCGTGTAAAGGGCCCAAGAAAATGCAATCTATTGAAGTCCTCAACGAGGGAGTTCTCCTCGGCAGTAGGGAGGTTGACCGGAGGGAACGCCTAACACACTACCGCACTTCGACGTGGGCACCCTCATCGTAAATGAACAATATAAATATATAAACTAGTTTACATGCCATTATCTTAAACATCTACATCTAACATGCACTACTAATAAGGGTGGAATAATAATGATTAATAATGGAGATGGAACAGTAATATGTCTATTTCTATTAACGGTAATCGCTCCTACCAACAGGAGCTATAAATATACCCTGGTACAACTGCATATACATCTATAGGGGGAAGAGCACAGTAGAACAGTAAAACCATCAACATACTGTCACCGCCACCATCCACACTATTATTATGCACATGCTCTGCACAATGGGAAATGCGAACCCGTAACTTTTCCACTTCCCTACAGGTGACCATGTGCATATTGGAGTTTCACCCTAGTGGTATGAAAAACACTAGTGAAAAATATATTTCACGACTACTGCGAATATCGCGTTTTTCGCCGAGTATTACGCCACTTCACGAAGAACAGGTGAAACTCCAATGTATGCTTTTGTCGACTTTCGCGTGGAGAAAACGTCAACAGAAAACCGAGAAACTTCATATCGTCAGACGGCATCCGTCCGATATTCGCAGCAACTAGTGCGATGAAGAACTCTAACAAGTTTCCTCACTCTCCTACTACAGCCGGATCTAACAGTGTTCACTACAAACCTCCATGGGGCAGTGCGAGAAAATACACATGATCAACTACATGTGTTGGTGATAATATGAAAATTCCAAGGGAATTTCGAGAAGATCTTGTTGCTTTTCATACACTTCTACCCTAATCCGGATAATAGTGAGGAAACTCCCAAGCTCAGCTGAGGAAAGCGACCATCTACTCCCAGGTTTTCCAAACAAACAACAACCTACCAAATTGCTCACCCGAGATCCCCCATGCGACCGAGAAGTAGCCGCCGCCGACAACGGGAAATACCTCTCGCAAA